GTACCTGGAATGTTCTCTCTCCTCTTCTCACTAAAATGCCTTCTTCTGGACTCAGAAGGACTATCTATAAGCTGCTTTACAAATTAATTCCTACCCAACCTTTAAAGTTCAACTCAAATGCCACCTCCTCCAAAAGTCTTCCTGGTCACCCTCAATCAGTAATGAATTACCCTTCTTAGAGTACTCTATACCTCTCATACATTTATCATGTATTATAATTATGTGTATATTTGCCATATCTCTTACTTGACAACATCTAACTAAATTATCCACACTAAGGAAGAGATCCAAAATATCAGTTTAAAATAATTTCTTTTTAGCACTGAAATCCAAGCAAACACACATACTCTGCCACCCCATCTTTTCCATGCTGTGATTTCCTACTAATTGAGCCTCTGACGCCCCATCTAAACCATACTGACTCTTGATTCCCTACTAACTGAACTTTACTTTCAGGAGCCTGAGACTCAGCTTGTAAGTAGGCAGCCACTGAGAAGCCACATAACAGAAAATCACTACTGAATAATCAAGAGTTGACAGCAGCATTTGATTATGGTTTATGATGTTTAAACAACAAACTATTTTAAAAGTGTTCACTATTTAGAAGATCCATCAACTGATTCTACCTTTTTAAATCACCTAATGATTTTGGCATTATATTTTTTCTCTTCAGGACCTCAAATGTTGGGTGTAAGGCTTTTTCTTTAAGTACCTGTATGAGTTTTCTGAGTTAGACAAAAATTCTTGTGAATGAATTACTTCCTCCCCAAAAACAATATACACATACATACACATATAAAAATTACTCAGTCATGATAACAAGACTATTCTTCTCAAGTGAATATAACCATCAGAAGGATGTATATTGATTCACTCATTTTCTATAACTAATTTACTGGGAAAACAACCCAGCAGCAGCAACAGGATTTGGAATTAAAGCACTTCAACAAGTCAATCAAGCCCTCTAAGGCCTGTTTCCTAATCTATATAGTGAGATGATCTCCAAGTTTTGTGAGATCTCCAACATTCTATTACTCTCTGATCCCCTAAAGAAAAACATTTGAAAATGACTAGCAGGAATTAGAAAACACATGGGGAAATAGTCAGACTGACATTTTATTTTCTTTAAACCAAACGACCTCATCAACCACATATTCAACTATCCTCTATACAGTGAAGGGTAATGATGAAATACTTTTTAAAAGATTTTACAGTTGTCGAAGAAACACATGAATGATCAAATTCGGGTGAGTGAACAGCCATTTAAATCAACATTCTGAGAAGTCATTAGGGCCTAACTGTATAAATGTGTGTTCGGAAAATATAATCTTGGTCTTGTACCAGCCTTGGACAGGTAATTTAAAACTGTTACTGCTTCGATCTTTGCGATCTGCTTCACAGCCATGTTTAGAACATTAAGTGCTTCGAAGGTGCTAATATGCTAACGATGAGCACTTTAGCACACTGAAATCATCCAAGTTAAATAATAAGACTTTGCAGAGTTCTCTTCCAGCTGCCGTACAGGGTTACTAAATCTGTGGCTGTATTATCTCACTGTGCATATGGGGAGGAGAGTTTTAAATGACTCTATTAAACCAACTTATCACTCAAAAAGTCTTAATTTTTAACTCTCAGTTCCTGATGACATTCCAAGAGTGCTAGAACATTCTGAGCTCGCATTAGTCTCATAAGCCACAGTCTGACACATTGAAACTTGACTCTAGCACAGTGATGTCATTTTGGTCCTCTTTGAGAACAAAGGACCACCACCACCAACCAATCAAGCAGTGCTCTGTACGGTACAATATCGTTATAATATGCTATACTACACAACATTTAAGTAGTAAAATATATGATCATGTTACTCTAAGTATAGTCTACATTACAGTACTCTATATTATATTATTAATGTATTTTGTTATATCGGGGCAAGTAGGTGGCACCGTGGAAGAAGTGCTGTGCCTGAAGTCTGGAAGACTAATCTTCCTCAGCTCAAATTAGGCCTCAGACACTAGCTGCATGACTCTGGGCAAGTCACATAACCCTGTTTGCCTCAGTTTCCTCATCTGTAAAATGAGCTGGTGAAGGAAACGGCAAACCACTTCATTATCTTTGCCAAGAAAACCCCAACTGGAGTCATGAAGAGTCAGACAAAATGAACAAGTACTTTAAGTACTTAAGAGTTATAGTACTCTTAAGTAGTATACATTATAGTACTCTAATATATTTTATAGTACCTTTGGTACAGAATATTATATAGCATTAAATACTATAACAATTCTATCACAGAACTCTTAAACATATTATACTATGTTACAGTACTTGAGTTTTTATGTCACAGTGGTATATATTATTACAGTAATTTAAACGTTATAATATTATGGTATTCTAAGTAATATATTACATTATTATACAATAGGCATGTCATGTTATATTACACATTACTCCAAGTAGTATGGTACCATTCTAGTACTCTTTAAGTAGCATATATTATAATATCTTTATAGAACTCAGAGTATGTCATGTTATATTACACTGCTCCAGGTTGCTGATTACATAATTACAGTCCTTTGAGTAGTATAATAACGTATTATCTCATACCATCACATTGCTTCAAGTAGCATACTATAATATCATTGGTGAAGCCTAAGTATAATATCATATTACATGATATTACAGTACTCCAAGTAGTGTAACATCCTATACCATGTTAGTACTCTTAAGCAGCATAACATTACGCTCGTTATCCCAGGACTCTGAGCACATGGCTGTCCTACTCCATAGCGGGACACTACTCCAGAGATTCCAATACTGTATACTCTCTACTGTGAGAGGTGGAATCTTGTAGCAGACCACCACAGTACCGCAATACTCTGGGCATCATGCCCTATTATTACCCCAGTACTCCAAGTAGTATAATGCCGTACAATGCCATCAGAGTAAGGCTAGCCCAGGCGGTCTGAGCACAACTGCCCGTAGTCCTACTCTATGAACTGACATTACTCCAGAGTGACCAATACCATATAATCTCTACTCTGAGCAATGTAATCTCGTGGCTGACCGCCACAGCACTGCGGTATTCTGAACGCCATGCCCCAGGTACTGTAATAACTGCGCAATGCCCACTGCCTGCCGCCCTACTCCAGGGCTCGACATTACTCCAAGGAGTTCAACATTGTACATTCTACTCTGGGCAGTGTGATCTCGAAGCATACCACCATAGCATGCAGTACTCGGAGCACCATGCCTTCTTGCATAATGCCCCACGACTCCAGGCAGTGCCATACTGTGCAATGCCTAGGGCTCCAAGCACAGTGCCCGCCGCCCTACTCGGCGAGCTGACATTACTCCAAGGAGTCCAACATTGCACACTCTACTCTGAGGGGTGTGATCCCCAAGCACAGCACCACTGCATGCAGTACTTACATAAGCACCATGCCTTCTTGCATAACGCCTCACTGCTCCGGGCAGTGCCATCAGACTCCTCTCTAAGGCTAGCCCCGGGCTCCGAACACAATGTCTGCAGCCCTACTCCACAGCTCGACATTACTCCAGAGAGTTCAACACTGCACACTCTACTCTGAGCGGTGTGATAACGAAGCACAGCACCATAGCATGCAGTACTTACATAAGCACCATGCCTTCTTACATAATGCCCCACCACTCCAGGCAGAGCCATCAGACTCCTCTCTAAGGCTAGCCCTGGGCTCCGAGCACGCTGCCTGCCGCCCAGCTCCACAGAGTCCAACACTGCACACTCTACTCTGAGCGGTGTGATCGCGAAGCACAGCACCATAGCATGCAGTACTTACATAAGCACCATGCCTTCTTACATAATGCCCCACCACTCCAGGCAATGCCATCACACTGCTCTCCGCGGCTAGCCCGGCTCCGAGCACCCTGACTGCAGCCCTACTCCAGGACAGCTCGACATTGCCCTGGGGAGCCCACGTGGAAGCCCTGCCGCCTGCCCCGGGCGCGGCCGCGAAGCCGCGGCATCTCCCGAGCCCGGTCCGGCGCTCTGAGCCCTACTCGCTCGCACCACACTGCTCCAGGAGCCCACTCTGCTCGGAGCTCGGCAGCGGAGGACGACTCCCGGCAGTCCACTATCACATCTTACCACACCAGGGCTGAGTCGTGTTATCGCCGCCCTCCCAGAGTCCGGCCCCGCGCCCCCCAGGACCGGAGGCTTCCCCAGGGCGCCAGGGAGCGGTCGGCGAGGGGGAGGCTCCCCCAGGGCGGCTCGGGGCGCCCCCGGCCCCACGCGTGCTGGCACGCCGCCGAGCCTCGTCCAGGCCGCTGGGAAGGCATGGACCTGCCAGCCTCGACCGCTGCGGCTACGACAGCAGCAACCCGGCGGCCGAGGGTCCCTGCTACCCGCTTCCCCAGGGCCCGGCCCTCCGAAGGCGGCCCCCCACGGCGCGAAGCGGTCCTGGCCGGCGCCCCCCGCCTCCCTAGGGGTCCGGAGGGAGCCCTCCCCCTCGCCCGCCCTTTGTCACCTTCACCCGGGAGGGAAGGAGGCGATGGCATTCACCACGCCGCCTCCCCCCAGTCGATGCCCGGCCCTTCCTTCATCTGCTGGCTGGCACCTGTCGCCCCCTCCTCCACCCCGCCCCTCCCCCAGCCTGGGCGCCCCCCCCCCCTTTCCTCTCCTCTAGCGCCTCAGGCCCCGCCAGAGCAGGAGGGGGTAGCAATAGCTGATCCGGGCCACCGCCCCCTCCCCCTCCCCAGGGCCAACGGCTCCCACGGCGCCTCCCCGGGGGGGAGGGGCGGAGATCCAGGTACAAGGGCGACGGCCACACTCACCTCCCTGCCCTGCCCCCTCCTCGCTTGCATTCCCAGCCGCAAAGAAGACACTTCTTCCCACCCCCCCACCCCCACCCCAGTCCCCTACCAACAACCCCAACCCCCTCCCCAACCAATGGCGCCCCGTCCACCCATGCTCCTGGGCCCCTGCTGGGCACGTCACAGTGACCCCCACCCTAAGGGGGGGCGCTCACCAGTCATGGCCCCCCCCATGGACGGGGGGGGGTGTGGGGAGGGTCTCCTCGCCTTACGACCACCAGACTCCCCTCTGCAGCTACAATCCCCCAACTGCCAGGCCCAAGAATGAGGTGCCTCAGGCTGAGCCTCCCTTCACTAGGCCCCGCCTCCTGGACTATCTCCCCAGTTTAGGCTCCGCCCCCTTCTGCTTTGCCTCCCCTCCCTAGGGCCGCAGGTTTGAACTGTTCCCACCCCTCCCCCACGCCTTCCACTACCTAGGCTCTTTCCCATTGGTTCCCTTGGTTGCTAGGAGATGAATAACGGCGGCCTACATTGACTTGATTGGGCCTCCCCATTCGCTCCACCCCCTTCCCCCTCCTCTTGAAAAGTCTTATTTCCTACACTCTAGGCTTGGGATAGGAGCGCAGCTGCAGCTACGCACCTGTTAGATCCTGTGAATCACCCGGAGCGGACTGTCCAGGCTCTCCCACTCCCTGCTCAACTCACACTTCAACTCCTTGCTCAGGATGTGGATAAGAAGACATTTTTTGGCTGCGTTTTCTAACGGGTCTAAGTGAACACACGCCAACAACTCTAGGCGAGAAGGTTTTTTCCACTTTCTGGAGCCCAACCATGAGCTTTGGCAAAAGGACACCGATAGGACAACAATAATTGACTTCCAGAATTAGGTCAGGCTCAAGGGATGCCTGAATACAGACAACAGCCTAAAAGGAAGAAGTTGGCACGTCTAAAATAGACCAGAAAGGATAGAGAAAGAAAATACAAGAGCGACTTATGCACACCAGAAAAACTGGACAAGATGAAAGATGTGCCTCTCTCGAGTCGTATAAACAGAAGGGATGCCAAAAATCATACCTACACAATAAAAAAGTGTAGACCAACTCATGTTCCGTGGCTTGGCATGCCAGAAATATTAAGAGCAAAAACGATATGAACTAATCTTCTCTTCGTTTTTCTTATATGTGCCTCTATGTCTACTTTGGAGAGTGAAGAAAGAAGAGGAAAGACTCCTGAAGGAGAGGATAGAAGAACACTGCAAGCAAGTGATTGAAGTTAAAAAAAAAACACCAAGATGCCTTGTAAAATGGAAAGGATGGTGAATTTTATTGAAGTCAAGGGACTTGCAAGGAAGAAGAGGCATTAAAATGCAGGTTTAATATTTTAATATGATTCTTGGCAGTTTGCTCTAACTAAAATAACAAATTGAGACAAGAACAAAAAAGTTCGTCAGCCTTAAGAACTGTGTTGGAGTTTTTTTTTCAAATCCAAGATTTTCAATAAAGGCAGAATAGAGTGAGAAGAAAACAGAGCTGTGAAAAGTAGAAGTTCCATACCGAAAAGATCTTCCAATTTGAACCAGTTAAGACTTTTGTGAAAAGATCCTCCAATTTGAACTAGTTAAGACTTTTGTGAATGGCCGATGCTGGGAAGTAGGTGTCCAAATAAGGCATCAAACCAGCCACTAAGTAGAGGACTAATGGAAGTGGGAATCTGAGAGGAAAATGGAATGATTCTCTTACCGATTTGGTAATGAAAGAATGTAGAAAGAAAGGAAAAAGAAGAAAAACTCGGGAGGTTTACTCAGAAGAGTGATGCTGAAATGAAAACCGTCAAAAGAATCACCAAAATAATCATCCCAGAATCAAGATCTCTATTAGATTCATCTATGGGTCTTCAAAAGTCACAAGTCAATAAGCACCTACTATGTGCCAGGCACTGTGACAAGCACTTAAGATGCAAAGAAAGGCAAAACTATTACCTGCTATCATTTTAAAATAACCTCAAATACACTTAGTACTTTCTTTTGGCTCTTTTCCTTTCTTAAATAGTTAACACATAACTGTACCCAAACACCTGCAAGCATAAAAAGTCCAATGCATGAATTTAACCATAGTTTATTTACTCTTGGTAATGATGAACAATTAAAGGGAGGGCAAGGAAATCTAAAGAAGCTATGGTCAACATATTTGGGGGATTGCCTTCAGAACACATTGTTTTTGTAATATCTATTTGAGCTCTTCAAAGTGATTCTTCTAGGTGACATTGGATAATGAGCTAGTCTTAAAACCAAGAAGACTTAAGTTCAAGTCCTTGACCCACACTGGCCCATACTACGTGACTCTGGGCAAGTAATTTAATCTCTCCACACTCTAGGCAACTCTGTAAGGATATAAATTGTCAAGAAAGTACCTAATAGTATTATTAAAGGGTACTTCCTCTTCTCAGAGCAGTTAAACCAATTTGAGGTCACAGGTCCAGGCCCTATCCCTATTGTTAAGTGATAGGCAGCCTCCACCATTGGACAAATTTGTTAGGAAGTTTTTCTTGTATTGAGATAAAATCTGTCTCTGCAGTCTGCCTATTCTGATTTGTGCTCACTCGGGACCAAAGAAAACAATTCTAATCCATCCCACACAAAACCACCCTTCAAATCCTTGAAGACAGATTTCCTGTCCCTCCAAATTCTTCTCTTCTCCAGACTTAGTTCCTTCAATTAATCTTATGGCATAGTTTCTAGCCTTCTTAACATAATAGACAATCTCCATCAAGCAATTGTCTATGTCCCACCAGAGATTATCGAGATATTCCAACTGATAAGAACAGAGGACAGCATGATTGTTCTCCCCCATATTCTTTACACTCTGCTTCTCTAAATGCTACCTAAGATTACATCATTGCCTTTTTTTTTTTAGCATCCATGTCCTATAGTTTGTTGACTCATATTGAGGTTACTGTAGACCAATAAAACTCTCAGATTTTTTCACTGGTACTGTTGACTATTTAACCTTCCTCTGTAGTAGTGGTTTGAGCGATGTGACATTTCTGCAGTTTATTTTTTAAACTTGCCCAAATGTATGTATTTTTTTAACTCTTTCACTTTTATCTTCCTTATTTTACTTAATCAATTTTGGCTTATTGGATCTGGCCCATCGTTCCAGCTTGTCAATATTAAAATCTTGATGTGTCACTCACCCCTCAACAGTTTTGTGCCTGCTATAAATAATATTTAGTGGACATGGAAAACTCTATTGGTTATTCCACCAGATATATATCATTTACATTTCTCTATCTTATCCACAAAGATATCATGATAATTTATCAAATACCTGCAAAGGCTTAGGTATATCATGCCTAAGTGGATCCCTTATCCACTGAATCAATCACAAAAAGGAAGGAAACATGATTTTCCTTTCTAAATGCTTATAAATCATCCCTTTATTAATATATTCTAGAATTTTCCAGAAATCAAAGCTTACCAATCAATCATTTGATGAATTATCCTATTTCTTTTTTGGAAAACTGGGACATTAATCCATCTCCAATGCTGTAGTACCTCTCTTATTTTCTATAATTTTTTAAAATATTGGGGGGTGATTATATCTCAGCAGTCAATGACACCTGCTAGTTCTCCTGGTATTCTGAAATGTAGTTTATCTGCACTTGGCGACTTGAACTTATTCAGGGCAAGGGAACACTCTCTTACCATTTTAATTATCTTGGGTTTCAGCTCCTTGCTAATCATGTTTCTTCTATCTTAGACACTATCTAGTGTCAGGCTGAAGATTGTTCTTCCTGGTAAAAAAAAAATAGGAAAAAATGTATTGAGTAGTTCTGTCTTCTCTTTATCATTTGTTATTATTTTCCCTCTATCATGAGCCATGATCCTATCCTTCTTTGATCTTAGTCTTACTCCCAATATAGCCATAAAAAATTATTTTTATTTTCCTTAGCATACATTGAAAGCTTTAGCTTGTCCTGAGCTTTAGTATACTTAGCACTAGTCTTGTAGGACCATTCTACTGTTTTGTATTCATTCTCAGTAAACTTCCCTTGCTTTCATCTTCTTTGCATCCCTTTCTTAGAGTTCAAGTTGGTCTAGAAGTTTCCTGTGCATCCACTTAAGTCATTTTAGACTTTTCACCCTCTTATTCCTCATCAGAATCACTGGTGTTTGTTTCATTAGATTTTTTTCCTTAATAGCATCCCATCACTTTTGATCTAACTTCCCCTGTAGAATTTTAAGGAATCGGGTCCTACCTATCCTTTCTCTAAACTCTATGAAATCTATTCTTCCTAAGTTTAGGGTTTGCTTTGCTTTCCTTCCCCTACTTATCACAAACTCTAAGATATAGTGATCACTTCTTTCAAGGTTCCTATCATTTCAGCTTTGGCAGCCAACTCCTCTTTATTGGGCAGAATCAGCTCACAAATAACTGGGTACTCTGATTTTAATGACTCATACCACCTATCTCTACAGAGAGGGCAATGCCATCAAAATACTGCCATCTAATAGAGGCTAACCTGAGCAACTAGCCAGCTAGTCTGTTCTCTCTCTCTCTCTCTCTCTCTCTCTCTCTCTCTCTCTCTCTCTCTCTCTCTCTCTCTCTCTCTCTCTCTCTCCTCTCTGTTTTCAATGTCATATATCTTCTTTCCCTTACTAAACTATAAACAACTTGTACAGGACTATCCGTGTCTTATTCACATATGTATTCTTCACAGTGGCTTGCACACAGTATCTTCTCAGTAAAATTTTATTGAGTAAATAAATGAATCAATGAACGAAGCCATTATGAATTATTTAGGACTCCCCAGCAATTATTTCAGTCACTATAGCTTCTGCTACTGAGCATATACAAATATAAGTAATAATGAATATACTATAATTGTGTTCTACCATAAATTATGTCTTCTATTGATTCTATCATTAACAATCATTCCAGGATACAGTGTGAGGAGCAGGTCAATGGAGGAGAGCTATTCCCTTACAAAAATCCAACTCTCTTTGCTCTGAGTCAGTGCTTACCAAACAACTTCCTGATATATAATCATATGCTAGAATAGATTGGTGATCTGGACTGAGTCATAGCCATTTAAGAGTATCTGCCTTTGTCATTCTGCCTTCAGGTTTGGGCTATCTCTGCAGGAAAAAACATCTTGGCAGACAGTCATAAAGAGAACTGAACTGAACGTGGGCTATTGCATTTGTCTGTTTAAACATCTTCAGTAGAAACTATTCTGTGAGCCAGTAGAAGCAAAGAGAATTGAAATATAAGTTTTTATTAAGCTGAAATGATAGTGTAAGTGAGCAAAGTGGTGAAATACAAAGCAGGGAACAACCTGAACTGCCCGAATATGATTTGAATTATAATATATAGAGATCATATCTTAATGCTGTCTAAATTACATTTTTTCTTTTCTCATTTACCACAGACTTTAAACACACACACACACACACACACACACACACACATATACACACACACATTAATAGATTGAAGTTTTCAATGAGTAACAGTGGTCTGAGAAAATTTCAAAACCTTTCCTGTGTTTTCCTGCTTAATACAAAAATACTTTGTTTTATGTAATAGATGCATTGTTTTTTAAAAGTATGTATTGAATTTTTGGAAATCAAATCATACAATAAAATTCTGAAGGCAAAAGACAAAAGTACTCCAAAAACTAGGGAAAAAAGGGAGCTACCCAAAGAAGGTGAAACAAATTACCTGAGTTATTTGAGAACAAATACGGAAAGATAGTGCTGACCTGCACTAAAGTCCAGAAAGAAATCAGGTTGGCAGTGAATACTCAAGACAGAAAAAGGAGTTGTTTTTAAATTTTTTTAGCTGTTTTGTAAATAAGGAAAGGTCCAAAGGAGAGATGGTCTCATTGCCCTGGGAAGGATAGTACAAAATGGTTAGCATGAGTAGAAACCCAAGATAATGAAGAGATGGTCAGAGAGCATTTATATTTTCATAAAGAGATTTGAACGTATGAAGATAAATCTTCCTGATTCCAAGGCCAGTGTTCTATCCGTTGCACTACCTAGCTGCCCCTGAAAAACTTTACCTTCCACCTATTTTGTATATACTTATATATGTGCATGTTGAGTCCCCTAATAAATTGCTAGCCTCTTGAAGGCAAGTACTGTTTCATATTTTTAATCCCCAGCGCCTATCATAATGCCTGGCCCATAGTGGTGCTTAATTAATGCTTATTGATCTAATGAATTGTCAGATTGGAAGAAAATTCCCTAGTCAAGTACCCCAGGGGACCAATTCTTGGGTCTATGCAGTTCAACATTTTTATTGACAACATGGATAAAGACATAGATAACTTGGAAGTAGAGATAACAGGTTGGGCAGAATCCAGATTCAGAAAGGGTTATGAAGATTAACTAGAAGAGCTGTTTTCAAACTTTCTTTTAAAAAATCTTTTTGGGGATCCTTTCACATTCTTAAAAGCTATTGAGGGCCTATTTATCTTCTTTTTAATGCTAAGTATTTTTATCCTTCAGTTATTCATTTAAAAATATTTCTGATTTCAATGTTATTCTTTATCAGGCAGACAGTAATTATATTCATCCTTCCTTTTGCATTAGAAGTCAACAGAATTGGTTCATGTTGGATGCCATTTTTTTTTTCCAAAGCCTTGTCCTATATCTGACAGGGTTCAAGTCCTGTTTGGGATATGTGACTTAACCTTCCCAGATAACTTTCTAAGAAAACCTATTACAGAAGGTCTGCTGATCTTCATCAGCAGAAAGAGTTTCCACACTGGGATAATAGGATCATAGACCCAGAGTCTAGCAGACTTTGGAGGTCATCTAATCCAGCCCTTTATTTGCACAGATGAGAAAAGCAAGGCCTGGAAACATTTAGCGATTTGCCCAAGATCACATGCGTAGCAATTAAGTGGAAGAGCCGCGATTCAAACTCAGGTCTTGTGATTCCAAGTTCAACAAATGAAATCACAGGTCTGGACCAACTTGGCCTCCTACCCACCACCCACCCCAAATTCAGATTACTTTGCTAAGTGCTTTGGATTCAAATAAAGCTATGACGCAGACCTTTGCTTTCAGAGAGTTTGGATTCTAATAAAGAAATAGAGTCAAGTGGGAACTTGTACATGCTACAATCTAAGAAATTGCATCAGTATTTTACTTTAAAAAAAAAGGTTGAATACATTATTTAATCTCCCTACATACCTACTCACCAAAATTCGTACTTTTATTTCTGAACATATCTAGGAAATAGGAGATTAGGCAATCCAATAAGAAAGGTCTTTTATGGATAAGTTACTCTCTTCTTGAGATTGTGTTTTGCTTATTTGATAAAGCTCTATACTATATTCACTGATTGTAGAGAAATATTTGCTACCATCAGTAGACTTAAGATTCCAGCAGATCCTCATTCAGTGTGGGTGTATAATGAAGTGCCCCAATAGTCTATTCTCCACAATGATGCAATAACCAGTCAAGTCAAGGGAATAATGCTTTGAATGACCCATTCCTCCTGAAGAGTAGAGTGAGTGACTCATTCTTTCATAATGGACCTGGTATTATTCAGTCTCTTTTATGCACCATTCTTGTGGATTTAACAAAGCATCTAGAAGCCATAAATACCTGAGAATACAAAATGCCCTTGCAGAAACCTTTTTAGTGACACAATTCAGAAACATCTTGAAAGGGATGACAGAAATTGAGAAATGGCTGTGTACTGATGTACGCATTCTCGAGTCACAAACCTAAGAGAGCATGCATTTGTTTTTAGATCATGCTGCTGACTGACAAGCCAGATGGTACGTGATGCCAGTCTTCTCCACTCATGTCCCACCTGGCTGTTTCATCAACATCACCTATGCAGGTTGTTAA